GTTTGACCCTAGTTCGACCGGTAGAACTGGTTGAACCATGAACCTCTCCTTCCTGTTTATTGTTCGATCCGATTTTCACAACCTTAGAAAATTCTTAAGAATTTTACATACCGGTACAAGTGAGAATTTCGGGATCGTTAGGTGTCCATTTAATAAACTTATTTCACCAATATTTGTTTAGATATTATGATTTATTTAATGAATATTTTTTTATAATTTGCTAAGTCCTAAAATTATTTATTTATATTTTATATTAAAGAAACTGATTAAATTATATTTTTATATTAAATTATTATATTATATTTTATTCAAAAATATCTTAAAGCACTGGGATTTTATAATATCCCTTTTTCTCCTCATTACTTCGGCAACATAGATATGGCATAAGAAAATGAAAGAGAAATGAGAGGAGAGTGAAAGAAAACTCAAATTTGGAGGCTACGGTGCAATTTTCGTCCATCGGGCCAGTTAAAAGATTTGCTCAGCTCATTGTAAGGAATCCATATCCTATTTTTGATTTCAAAGATTTTGTGTTTTTGATATTTTTCTTCTCAAATTTGTATTTTCGTTACAAAAAACATGAATAACTTTATATTGACAAAATTTTTACTGCGTAACTTTTTATATGTTATAGAGATCAGGATTATGAATATTTTGAGGTATTATTCTTATTTTTATATGAATTTATTATTATTACACGGATTTACTATTATTACATTATTCTACTACTATTACCACTGAATTGTTATTGTTATTGATACAGATACTGATACTATTTGATATTATTGATTCACTACACTGATATTGAGTGTGTGATATACTAAGAACATGATATATAGAATTTTTTGAGCATGTGATTGAGATATTAGGCTTCAGATTGAGATACTTATTTAATGTTGATATAAAATAACAGAATAACATGTGTACATTCATATTTAATTTTATTGCATTGATTTAATTTTGATAGTCTTTATTGATATTATAATTTGATATTTTATATGATTTTTGTACATATTAATATTATTATGATGATTGCTTTATAGATTTTTCACTCATAATGATTTACTTTTTTATTGGCTTTCATATTGTAGTGTTTTACTAACTATAGATTCAACCACTACTGCATATGAATGTTATTATTTTTTGTATTAATTCAATGATCATATGGATGCAACAGCTATGATTTAACTGTTGATATGTATATTATTTCTTTACCGTGTTTTGAATTCAGTTGTAAGTTTTGGTGACCTACTAGGCTTTTTAAGCTTATTATATATGGTTAAATGATTTCAAGTCAGGGCAGGAGAGCAGGAGTGTGAGACTAGTCAAGATTCTTCATGTTTTATTTCTTTTTATTATAATCCTGAGTTGTGTATATAATTTTTTAGAATGAATATAGATGTGCACGTTGATGTTTTAAATTATAGAATTAGCTTTGTTGTTTATTACTGATAGAAGATATTTAGATAGCCTTGGTTATTATTTATTTAAAGGATAAAAAAATAACTATTTCAATTTAGATTCTTGGGCATCACACGTGCATTGACCTTATAAGTGGTGGTGTGAATTAGTGTTAGTGTTAAACACGAGCGATAAAATCTCTCAGCATTAGTGTTAGTGTTGATGGTGTGCAATAATTTTATAAAAATGTTTATTGTTTTTGGTGGCTATGAAGAGTG